GTGAGGCAGCAGGGAGGGAAAGCCCAAAAAATACCATGATACTTGGGCATTTCTCTTTCTGGATCCATTTCAAGTTGGCTTGTGGAGGATGGGATGGTACCAGGAGACATGGAAAAATGGATCATGTCTGTAGGGTTAGCCAGAGAGAGGCCTGATCTTTCTCAGTATTCCTATCACAGCAAAGGAAGCAAAATATAATTTGTTTGGGAATCTACTCCATGTACTTCAGACAGAATTTTCCCAAAACAAGGATGGCTCTGCCTTGATTTTTAAATACCAGAGGAATGGTTTCGACAATCTATTTTAATGTCATCTGATAGTCTCCAGTCAGTCATTCAACCATTCAACCATTCATTCATTCATTCAAGTAACCCTGAGCATCATCAGCATCTTACCAGACCCTGTGTGTGTGGTTGTTTAGGGATACTGTCTTGAGTAAGACATGGTCCTTGTTCTCAAGATAGGTCATAGTCTAGTGAAAATTTTACTCAACTGTGAAAATGCTCTTCCAGCTAAATTTGTGATTTCGACCTTTAAGCTTTTATGTGGTTGTGCCGAGGCTGTGACTTGCCAAGGTTTAGAGGGACCACATTGTACATAACTGGTCTCTAGGTGCAGGTAGGTGTCACCTGTCACTCTCTAGTGTCTTTACTGGAATTAAAAGGCAAATTTGGGGCATGCCTGACAGGCTGAATGTTACTGAAGTCTTTGGTCATCCAGGTTGACCTCACAGATAGATATCCTGTTGTTTCTCAGCTCCTGCTGGCCAGAATGTACAGTTTGGATGGAGACCAGCCGTTCAGCCTCTGAGGCCAGTGTAAGCTGCCAGAAATTAGGAGAGAAGAAAATAAGAATGTGAGGAAGGTGTGAAACTGGTCAAAGGACACAGGCATGCCTTCGTCAAGGAAAATGAAGAGAATCTTTTTCAGGAGTAGTCCCAGAAAACTTCACGCACGGAAGATGTGGGATCAAAGGGTGGGTGGGGTTGGCCTGGACAAAAGGGGGAAGGTGAGGGAACAGAAATGACCCTCAGTAAGAAACTAACAAGACTGAAACGGAGATACCTTGGCTGGGAGCAGGAGGAACTACTGGAGTGTTGTTGGGATGGGATTAGATTATTAAGCCAAACCAGGCCTGAGAGTTTAGAAGTGGTATGGTAGGGAGTCACTCAGGGTTTCTAAATTGGGAGGAAAGAGCATGTAAAAAAAGTATGTAAGGAAGATTGAGCTCACTGAAACCTGTTAAAGGGGGAGGCAAAGCTGAATTACAGGGCAAGATGATAAGGGCAGGGAGTAGGAAGGCATTCTCTCCCATTTCACAGATGAATAAATTTAGGCTCACAAGATAACTAATTAACTTAGAGTCATAGAGCAAATAAATCCTGAGCCAGGTCTGCCTGACTTTGTGTCCTGTCCATGACTTCACGCCCTTTGCCCCAGGGTAGGCACAGAGGAATGCTGGGAATGGCGGTGATTGACCTGGGAGGCGAGGGCAGAACTGACCTTCAGATTTGGAGCTAGGATGGTAGGAAGATGCTGGATTTGTTAAGAGAGATGTTATAGTCAGAAGGAAGATACATAAAATGAACTGTCACATGCCAACCAAGGTGATTGTAGATTAATGTAAAGCAAAACAAGGATTAGTGGCCTCTTCATCAATATGCCTCTTTTCTCATACAGTTCATCTTTCCTGAGCTGTGTCTGATCTTCCAAGGACTGGCGTCACGAGAGAGCTGTGTGTCCCAGTACTTCTCCGGACTTTCCATTGCTCTGCCTTTAAATGGCACTCATACATGTAACTAGAATGAGACTCTGTGGTCTGGTCATGTGCCTTCTGAAATTCCAGGAACTTTATGCTTTAAAGAAAAGCTTTTCTTGGTCATTGTTTTTGTAGTTACATCTACAAAAACAGTAACGATATATTGAACTTCCTTTGGCATAATTATAACTTCTAGATAAATACAGAAGCTGTTACAGGGAAGTTTTTGTTTCAGTCACTATAATTGTTTACCAGCTGCTTTCAGAACTTACTGTGGCTGTGCTTTATGTGTATATGTGGGGGGAAGGGGCATGTTTCAGATCCCTATAAAATAAACCTAGTTTAGTACCACATTTTTATACTTTTTTTTTCTTCACATTTCAATAACTGAAATCAGGAAGCATCTTAGCATCAGTGCTTTATCTTGGCTTAATAAACAGGTTATTTTTTTCTTTCCTGTGACATGTGAAATAATGGTCTATCTTAAAATTGATGGCGTGTGATGCTTAATTTTATGTGTCAATTTACCTGGGCCAGTGGGTGCCCAGACATTTGGCCAGTCATTCTGGGTGTTTTCTGTGAGTGTGTTTCTGGATGAGATTAACATTTGAATTGGTAGGCCCAATAAAGTAGATTGCTTTCTCTGATGTGAGTGGGTGTCTTCCAGTCAAAGACCTAAATAGAAGAAAAAGGCTGAGGGAGACTCTGCCTGCCTGAGTGCTGGAGCTGAGACATTAATCTTTCCCTGCTTTCTGACTTGGAAACATTGGTCCTTCCTGGGTCTCAAGCCTGCTATCTTTCGGAATGGAATTACAAATTGGCTCTCCTGAGTCTCTAGCTTTCTGCCTGCAGATCTTGGAATTTCTCAGCCTCCGTCATTACATGAGCCAATTCCTTATAATAAATATATAGAGACAGAGATACATACATCACCATCGGTTCTGTTTCTCTGGAGAACCCTGACTAATACAGATGTGGTTCTGAATTTGATAAAATGCAATAATTGAGGGTGTTCTCAGTTCCTTCTACTCAGAAGCCATGATGGTTTTGGGACGTATTCGCACCAAATCGAGTCATGGGAGTTGAACTGTGAGAGAGAAGATGCTCCTCTTATATACCAGGGTAGCGGTCTAGAAATGGGGCTTAGGAGTTGTTATGCCATGGAGGGGCAGTGTAGAAAGACATAATTTTCCTTCCAAATCTTCTGTGTACTTCCTGTGTGATCTTAGTTAGGTCACTTAGTCTACCTGGGATTGGTTTCCTTATCTGTAAAATGACCTGGTTGGACTAAGTGATTTCAAAGTCTTTTTCCATTTCTCAGGTAGTCACTGAATCTACCTGGGATTGGTTTCCTTATCTATAAAATGAGCTGGCTGGTCTAGGTGATTTCAAAGTTCTCTTCCAATCTCAGGAATTGATTCTTCTGTTTTAGTGAGGGGAGGTGACCTACGATGTAAATAACAGCACTCTCTTGCACAGGGCTAGAATAGCACCAATGACCTCTAATTCCAGGAGCACTGAGTCTCTGCTCAACAAGACAGTCTGATGATCAGGGTAGTTTCCTGGGTTGTAATGTTTGTGTAAACAGTGGCTGTTGAGTTTGAGTTTCCATAGAATTTGTAACCAAGGTCAGGAAGAATCACCTTCTGAAAGAAAAATTAATGAGTTGATCCCAAGAGGTTCGCCAGCCAATAACTGACTTGAGTTGAGATAAGGCCAAGGGGCTCCTTATATCCAGTAAAGGGTGTAGGTGTCTCCTGGGAGGGACATCCTCAATATAAAAACAACAAGACCAGCATAAGCTATAGTTTTAGAAAAGATTACTTATCTTTGGTGAGCAAGGCTTGTATGGCAGGATATTTCAGTGACTGGTATGAATTACTAGAGGGTGGATGTTGAAAATTAGTATTTATCCAGCTTTGTTTATGGAAGTGAGAGACATGGTAACCTGGCAGGCCTGAGTCCTCTGGTTCCTGGCAAAGCAGGTAGTTGATCTGACTTTAGGTGTGAACACACAATTCAATATATAGATGATGTATTTTAGAGTCGTACACTTGAAACCTATTTAGTTTTGTTAACCAATGTCACCCCAAAAAATTTAATTAAAAAAATAAATTTAAAAAACAAAACAAAGAGAATCAGACTCTGACAAAGTAAACAGTGAGTGAAACATCTCACCTGCCACCTAACTCCTGTGCTGAGCTTAGATTTGGTGCTGACCGTTTAGGCTCCTGATCACATATGTAGTTGCTCAGTACCATGATCGTAGGCTCGGGCACTTCATCTGTTAGGATGTAATAAATTGACACCATTCTCAATTTGATTGGTATCTTAGGCACCTGGTTTGTGTGAATTAATCCCTACCTGAGCAGCCCCTGAGGCTTTGCTCAAAGCCCCTGCCACAGAGGAGTCCCAGGAGAGAAATGTATTCCTAAAGGGCAATGGCATGTCAGAGAAAGAAAAGAATACACCTAACTTAGGCAGCTGAGAGGGCTGATGCAGAGATACTTGGGTGACATTGAAGATCCAGCTCCAGCAGAAGCCCAGGAGCAGGAAGAGAGCAAATGAGTTTGCTTTGACTAGAATACAGGTTGTGTAAGAGAGTGGGATAAGCTATATATTGCCACTGACTGTGGTTTGCCTCCTGAAATTCTCCAAAGTAAAGTAGGTAAGCCCATGAATGTTTTCAGATTACTCCATGTCAGTGGATCAGTACTAAATAGTAATCAAAGTTATCTTTTCCTGGTGGTCACATGACCCTGGCAGGCTTATTAGCACTCTGTCCAATGTCGAAAGGGCAGTGTAATCTTCTGCCCCGTTTCTCAGTTTGGGGTAATTTTCTTAACCAGAGGGGAGGAGAACAGGTGTGTGATAACAATAACGTTCAGGAAACAGTTGAAAACCACAGATTATTAGTACTGCATTGGGGGAGGGGGAAAGGGAATAAAAATCATCAGTAATCCCATAACCTAGAGAATCATCACAGTATTTGTTGCTGATCCTTCCAGACTTTTTCTTTACATTATGTGACTAAAACTATATGCCTCTGTGGGTCTTTTTAATTTTACCAAAATGGGATCAAACTTACAGGTCTTTCTTAATCTACTACTTTCCCTTAGTTTCCCCTGGAGTGTAAATTCCTTGGCGCTGGGACCCAGCATCCTTGGTCATGTCCTGTTCCTGTGTCCTCGGAGGCACCTCTCACACGGGCAGTAACTGAGACCATGCTCTTCTGCTTTCAGGTTGGCAGCCACGATGGTTCCTTCTTTGTGGGGGGATATTATCCTATTATGATTCTCCTGAAGATGCCTGGAAAGGTTGCAAAGGGAGCATCCAAATGGCAGTCTGTGAAATTCAAGGTGAGAAACCAAGGGCGTTGGTGCATTTTATTTTTCCTTCTGTCCCCACCAGAATAAAAAAGTACTGGTCTCCTCGTGCCTTTCTCTGCTTCTGTAGTACAGACAAAAATACATAGTGTCATGTCCCAAAAGAAAGCTCTGCAATAAGACCTAAAACTGCAACCAAGTTTTACAAGGCTGTTGGTTCAGAGGTGGTCGAAATAAATGAGAGCAGTGGGCCTAACCACACATCTAGTGCTCATTCCTTCGTCACCTGCCCACCTGGGGCCAGTGGCTGTTTGCGAAACTTGTTTAAATCTTTTTCCTGCGGCATCTAACACTTCTAGGTTTAAATCAAGTCAATATACCCCTCACCACCACCACGTACTCAAAACAAGCAAACACCTAACACCTACAAATCGCCTTTACTTCTTAGTTTGAGGAATCGTGAGACGTACTGAGATGTGGTTCAGAAGCAGACTAGAGGGGAATTTTGGGTTGGGGCTGGTGGGTGGTGGGTAAAGGAGAGTATGGTTTGCTTGTGTCTTCTGAGGGCTCTGACGCCATTCTCATGCTTTTGATCTGACTTGGGAAGGGAAGGAGAAAAGAAAAAACATTGTGTTCTTGGTTACTTTCCAGTAAACCCAAGGAGATAGAGTACCCTCTTACCTGTTGGCATGCAAGCCATTTGGACCTCAGAGCAGCGTACTTTACACACACAAGCCAAGACAGAAATTCCCTCTGTTCTGATAAAAGATCTAAGGAGAATTAGATGATCCTTTTTTAGGCCAAAATCTTGGTGTGATACCTTGGAGTCTGTTGCACGGTTTTCCGTCTTCAGCAGCAGAGGCATCTCGATGAGATGAACAAGCCAGGAGAGGTGGTAGGGGCTGGCATCCTCTCTCAGAAGGAGCCTGCAGCGCCTGGCACCTGTTGAGCTCAGGAATTTGGGTGGGGTGGAGGCTACCCAGATAGGGCTGTTGTGGGTTTCTGACTTCCCTCTGCTTTGCTTCAAGTTCATTCTGTGGATAACACACGCATGGACCTGATCATCCCTGGGGAGCAGTATTTCTACCTGAAAGCCAGAAGTGTAGCTGAGAGGCAACGGTGGCTGGTGGCTCTGGGGTCAGCCAAAGCTTGCCTGACAGACAGTAGGACCCAGAAGGAAAAAGGCAAGTATTGATTGTCCTCTGGTCTGGGTCATCTTGCTACTGATCACCTAGCCAGCTTTTTGTATTATGCAAATGATACACAATGCGGTGGAGTCTAAACCCTGGTCTCCATCTAATGCTCAGCATGTCAGAGCAGAAAGGGTGCAGGCTTTGGGGCCAGATACAACTGGATGCAAATCATGGCTTTGCAGGTAGGTTCCTGGCTTTTGACCTTGGCCTTGGTCACGTAATCTAGCTGAACCTCAGTTTCCTAATATTTTAAAAAGAAGGAATGACCTATGTTAGAAGGATTACCACAGGATAGTGATACTCTGAAGCCCTGTAGTACCCCCTCTGGCACAGAGTTCACCTTTGGTAGAGAGTGGCTGCGCCAGCCCAGCCAGTGTGGCTCAATTGGTTGAGATCATGCTGTACACCAGGAGGTTGCCAGTTCGATTCCTAGTCAGGGCACATGCCCAGGTTTCGGGCTCCATCTCCAGGGGCGGGTATGGGAGGCTGCCGATCAGTGTTTCTCTCTCTTTGATGTTTCTTTCTCACTCCCTCTCCCTTCCTCTCTCTGAAATCAATAAAAACATATACCAAAAAAAAAGAGTGGCTGAGCAGAGAAGCCTTTAATCAGGGTGCTTCTTGCAGTAACACCCGCTTTCCCTACCTGTCCCTGGGGTGGGATGGATGCTTAATTGTCAGGTCACTGCTGCTTAATGCTCATTAACTCACCGTCATTAGATCTGAGAAACATGGCACAACCTTCTATCGGGACTGGGCCATGAGTGCCAGGGCTTATTGCCTGGGCCCTCATTGCTACCTTGCCAGCCGCCTGGCCCATGCACACACCTGAAGAGATTGCAGGGAGCGGAGGGCCTCTGGGAAAGTGTTTCAGGAAACCTTTCTCATCACAGGTGTGGCGATTGTGCTTAACTCTTCGGGTAGACACAGTAAAGCGGCCTCTTTGTTGGTGTTTTTGCGTTCTAAATCAGGAGTGAATTCTAGACATTGCCAGCTTTGACTCGGATCTGGTGGTAACGTGCAGCATTTTTATGGAGAAGAAAACAGTTGATAATGATTGTCGCTGAGCCCTCAGCACCAGGGTGGCTGGAGAGCCGAGCTAATAAGGGAGTAGCAGGAGCTCAGAGGGTGCTATTAGCCCTGACAGGCAGCGCGCTGAACTGGTCCTCGGAATTAATGAGCTGCCTCATTAGTGGTAATTGCACATTACAGAACACAGTTTCCCAGTTCCAAGGCCTATGTTGGCAGGTAGATGGCCGTGACCCCATTTTAGACACAGGGAAACTGTGGTAGAACTGAGACTAGAACCCGGAACCTGGGCTCTGCTCCCAGTTCTGATACGCGTGGGTCAGAAGTATGCTGTCTCCTTCTCCCTGTACTGCTGCTCCGGCAATGTGTTGGCTCAGGAAAAAATGTGGATTACTTTGAAAGACTGGCCGCCTCCTCTTCTGTTTTCCTTGCTTCCAGATCTTTACCTCAGCCCTGTCTAAGCCATACTGTAAGCATCTGACTTCAGGAATAGGTTACATGCTCCATGACCTGATAGTATACTAACTAGTACCTTGTGCGTTCATTTTGATAATGACTTACATTGTCATCATTTTGCTACGTAGAGTTTGCTGAAAACACTGAAAACTTGAAAACCAAAATGTCAGAGCTCAGACTCTACTGTGACCTCCTTGTTCAGCAAGTGGAAAAAACAAAAGAAGTGACCACAGCTGGTGCCTCCAGTCCTGAGGTAAATATTATTTCTCTCAGCCGCATGGGAAGTGGCTCCAGATGTTGCTCACAGGTGATACTTACTCTCGCATCATCTCTGAATATCTTGGATTTTACTGTTTTCCAGAGAAAAATAAGAATAAAATTTAACAAAGAGAACAGATGTGTGCATTTCAGCCTATGGAAGCATAGAGCTTTCCTTTCTAGAATGTATCAGGATTAATTGGTAATATTTGGAACTGCCTGTTGTGCACAAGACACTGTGATAAGGGAAAGGGAGGGGCACCAAAAAAATCATTTCGGTTCTGTTCTTGGGATGTTCATAGTCCAGAACAGTGATTCTCAACCCCGCGCAATTTTGCTCCTCAGGAGGCATCTGGCAATGTCTGGAGATGTTTTTCTGGGAGAGCTCAGCATAGAGACTTAGTTCAGTTTTTGGTTTGCTGACGTGAGGTTTAGCATGAGTGACTCCATCTTGGGCCACATCTGGTTGCTGTAACACTACTACGATATGGTTACTACACTCTCCAGTCGGGATATGACCTCAATTTTCTGAACAGCACATTAATGTCAATATCCAGAGGGAAAACACACTGAACAAGGAAAATAACTTGGAGAAAAAAAGTGATTAGATGCTCAAAAGAATTCCAGTTGCTGAAACCTCTTAGACATCTGAACGGAAAGCCAGAAAACCCATTCTGAAAGCTAACGATGCATGATTTGTGGTTTCTAATGAACCTCATTTTACTCAGGCAATGGGAAACATTGTCCATTGACCCCACTGGTCTTCAGTCTCTGTGGTTCCCTGTTTCATGTCTGCCACCCCTGTAGACTGCAAACTCAGTGAGGCTCTGTGCCCAGCACCTGGCACAGGGCTGGCACTTAGTGTTGAGTTGAATGAAGTTGCTCCCTCAGCTGGAGCAGCGGGTGAGTGTGAAAGGTCAGATTGAGGGTTCGGCTCGTGTATAGTTAATAGATAAACTGCACTCAGTCTTTTTCTTATATAACTGATGTACGTGTTTGTCCTGCAAAATAGGTGGGAATGTTATATTATTATGCTGTGGATAAAAACCTCTAAGGACATGCCACCATGGGCCTGTTTCTCTTTTGGCAAAGTAAAGGGTCTTCCACTCTGGTTGTTTCGCAGGAGGGAATTGACGTGGGAACACTGCTGAAGTCGACGTGCAATACTTTCCTGAAGACTTTGGAAGAATGCATGCAGATTGCGAATGCCGCCTTCACCTCCGACCTGCTCTATCGCACTCCCCCGGGGTCACCACAGCTGGCCATGCTCAAGTCCGGCAAGGTGAGAGCCCGGCTCAGCCCGGCTGCCTCAGGGTTAGTGAAAAGTGGAAACGCTAAGAAAGTGATATACTGAGCTGTGTTCTCCATTACCCTTTGGTGACTGATAAAGACTTTTTTTAGTGGTCTTGCCTTTATTTCCACTTTTATATCTACCCCCAGTTCCCATATACAGCCATTTATTTTTGGCAGTTTCTCCACCTAAATATGTGTCTGTAGCCGGCGTCTTCTCCCAGCCTCTTTATCCAGTGTCTCCCTGGGATTTGTGGTAGCCTTCTGACCAGTCGCCTTCAGCCTGACCCTCCCGGGCAGCTGGACAGTCTTTTATCCATGCAGTGCCAATTAGACCACTCTACCAAACCTTTCAGGGGCTCCCTCGTTGCCTACAGGTTAAAGTCAGGACTTCTTAGCCCCTTCCCACATCCCCAGCCTCTTGCTGTCATTACCTGGCTTGGGTGTGTTAACTGCGTGTAGCTCCCCCACATCTCAGTGCCATTGCCCAGTGCCAGGATTGCCCTCTCCCCTGTCTTTCCCTGGTCAGCTCTTATCCATCCCTCAAGATTTAATCTCTTCTTCCCTGAATCCCTAAGTTGGGCTGAGAGCTCCTCTGCTCTGCACACCTTTATCTCAGCCTCGCTCTACAGAGCAGTTACTGTGGGGGCAGGGATCCCTACTGTTTACCATTACACGTCCAGGGTTTAATACAGTGCCACATCATAGCTGGTATTTATTAATGTTTAATGAGCGTAACTGAAATTATAAGGAGGTCACCCACCAAGGGTTCGGCTCTGGTAATTAGGTCCTTCAAAGGGCCATCTTCCTTTTCCTTGGAAACTTGGGGACCCCTCTTTGAATGAATGTGAAGGGCTGGTTGAGAGGAATACCCCCTCCATGGGGAGGATCTAGAATTGTCATGAAACCGGGGCAGTGTGAGTTAGGGCCACATTCACCACTTTCAGGTGTGATAAAACTAATATGCTCTGTTGGAAGTTCAACATGTAACGTGCATCTCTTTGTTTCTTTTAAAGGTGAAACATCCTGTTGTACCGATTCATAATTCGTTGGAAAGGTACCGTAACTTCTTCGTTTTTTCTTCTTTCTAAAAATAAAAAAATTAAAGATATTGTTATTCCCTGTTTTTACAAAAATAAGGATATTTTGATCGTATGGTGGTTTTTCTCATGATTTGAGATGACACCAGAAGAAAGCAGCGTCTGATTTCCCTCTTTTGGGTGGTCCTGAAGCGTGGCAGCCCTTCCATTCATTCCGCAGTGACTACCAGGGAAGGTGTCTGCACTTTGCCTCAGCTGCAGATCTCATCCATCACTAATTTAACTTTTCATCTCTAGTGAACTGAGGCTGGCACTGCCTCTCTTGTGGAGGAGCTGTGCTTGGATTTAAGTGTGCTTTTGTCTGGGAAAGACACTTACTTTTTTTTGTATAAAAATAAAAATTTAAGTGGCTTTACAGGTTGAAACAAGAACATAATATCAAAATCTAAACAATTTTTTCCTCTGAAGGCTCCTTTGATTTAAAAAACGACACATTTACATAATTATGTTCCTTTTATTTGGGGTCTTTATTTAGTTATTATTTGAAACAAGCATTCCTATATTTTGACTTAGTCCATATATTTGTCCTTTAAAATTATTATTTAATATTTTATCTCTTTATATGCTATTGTTTGCTTCTTTTGTACAGGATTGTTCCCAATTTGGTTGTTAAAATTTTTTTTCTGTCCTAAATATTTCTACTAAGAACATCTTTATAGATTTTTTTTCCTGTTTAGGTATTTCCTTAATATCTACATTTTTCATTGCTAAGTTGAAATATGGTATTTTTTTAGAAAATAAATGTTTTTCTTGAAGTCACCATGTAGCTTGGACCCTTTCCCTTTATTTTTATTAGAAGAAATTTTTTTCTTCTAATTTGGCTGGTCCTAATCACTTACAATAGGATGTTATGATTGTCCCTTTAACAGAATCAGGTGTCCCACTCATATGTTAAGTTGCCTTTTCTGTTACCCTGAAGAGCAGCAGATCTTCAGGATATAGCCTGTCCTCCCAAGTTTTATCTGTCACACATACTTTACAGGGGATATTCTGCCCTTATCACAGCGTGTGGCTTCCAGACAGTTAACTACTAGACAAACACAGGGAAGTGGCCAGTGAGTTTGAGACCTGAGGAGAGAGAAAACCTCCCTGGGAGAAACTGAGAAAAATGAGAAAAGTGTTAAGCAGGGTACCTGTAGAAAGCTGATTGGAAACCAAAGACCTGTCAATGCCTATTTCCTGTTGCTAGTGGGGAGCAGGAAGTTTGCATCAGTGGAGGGTACTTGACGAACCATGAATGGCTCTTTGATTTCTCAGCTTCAGCCTAGAGACAGGCCTGCACCTCTCACAGTCAGATACCTGCCTTTGAGGCAGGGGGAGAGGGGTAAGAGATTTGGCTGATTTAACAATTCTGTTTTTTAATCTATGTAAACCCTTCCCCATCCCTCAGAATAAGATCTATTTATGACCAAATAATTGGACCTTCTGGCTTTTTTCCTTTAAAAAATTTTCCAGGCAAATGGAGTTAAACAGTTGTGAAAATGGATCTTTAAATATGGAAATAAATGACGATGAAGAAATCCTAGTGAAAAACAAGAGTTCCTTATATTTGAAATCTGCAGAGAGAGATTGCAGCCTATCAAGTGAAGAAAATACAGATGATAATATAACAGGTAAAAACAAAATTAAAGTCTGGAGCAAACCCAGTAATTTACTTCTAGACATTTGTCCATAGGGAATAGTCGGATTTAAGGACAAATCTTTGGACAGAGCTGTTCTTTGTGACATTGGGGTCGATTCCAATTATTCATGGTAGTTATGTCCTATAAAGTCATTGCAGGCATGGAATTAGCAAACACAGGGCCATTGCTCTTAGGGGAGATCCAGGATTAGGTTCCTGTGAGCCTCTATTGACAACATTTTTGTTGACTGATCAATATATAACCTTGCTTTATGTGTTTCTATTTCAAGACACCTTATTTACTATATTTGTTGATATAGTAACATCATACCATGGTCAGTAGCTCTGCAGCTCATGCCTGAATCAATCTCATCTAACCACATGCATTTTCTCCATAAGGCACATGACAGCTTTCTTTTGCTTAGGAACACCAATAGCACTACCCTGGGGGGCCCTTTTAAACAGTGAAATCAATAACAAAATGCACAAAACATGGCACTGAACAAACACTTGTGTATAGTATGGGAGTTGAAATAAGAAGGCAGAGCTTCACCTTGTTCAACCTTAGCTGGGAACACATAATGTCAGGTGACTCAGTTTTCACCACCGCACATGTCCACAAATGACTGCGAAAGTGCTGTAAGCGTTGATTTTAGGATTACAAATGAACTTTAGCAAGTAGGCAAACTCACAAATCCAAAATGCACTAATAACGAGGAATGCTTATGTCTAATACTAAAATTTTAGAAACCTCCTAAATGCCCTCCACATGATGCAGTTTTACATGGTCATTAGACTCATGTTCTGAAGAGTATTCAATGATAATATTTTCGATACATTGTTTGGTGAAAAAAAGCAAGACGCAAATCTACATATCTTTAAACCTAATTTTGTTTATGTGTATATGTATATATGTGTGTACGTATATCACTCATTTTTATTTCTGTTTACTTTTGTGTGTTTTAGAAATGTTCAACAAGGAATATATATTAATTTTTATAATAAATAGTGGTTTGGTAATAAGTATCTTCTACTCTGCAGTCCAAGGTGAAATGATGAAGGAAGGTGAAGCGGAAAGCTTGGCAAATCATGACAACTTGGCACAGCCTGGGTCAAGCCCCTCAGGCAGCTCTCCAGAATCCCACCCGGAAGAGGGCCAAGAAGTCATCCCAACTTTCTTCAGTACCATGAACACCAGGTATTCTGTACTCTCTAACCTCTCCTACTTTCCATACTTCTGGAAAATCATCCTGGCGTTCCTTTCAGGTGACTGTGTGTCCTAACAGAATAAAGAATAGGTCTGCTTTGCTATGCACCTTGTCCGAGGCAGTGGATGAGAGGGATTGGATGTGAGGGTGTACTCTGTGAGCAGATCTTAGATTGCTTTGATGGATTCTCTCTGGAAAATGATGTTATTAGACTGCATTATATAGAGAAAAAATCACTGGGGCATATGCGTGAAAACCGGCCCAATGATTTGCCCTGTAGAGGGGCAGCTGTTTTCATGACTACCTCTGAACTGCAGAGAGTACCAATGCAATTGCATTCTTCCCTCTCTTTATCACCCAATGGCTTAGCTTCAGTGACATTGAACTTCTGGAAGACAGTGGCATTCCCACAGAAGCTTTCTTGGAGTCGTGTTATGCTGTGCTTCCAGTGCTGGGTAAGATTGCTGCATTGCCTTAAGTTTGTCAGTCTCCAGAATCAGTCCCACTGCCATCCTGTTGAATTAGAGATCTGAACTGTGGTACTGTACATTAAAATAGTAAAACAAAACAAAGTTAATTTTTATTATTTATTTTATCTAACCTAGTATATTCAAAATATTATCTCAACATGTAATCAGTATAAAAGAATCATTAATGAGATATTTTGCATTCCTTTTTGGTACTAAATCTTTGAAATCTGGTGTGTATTTTACACTGTCAGTATATTTTAGTTTGGACTAGCGAATTGCAAGCACTAAGTGGCCACAAGTCTATTGACTACCATGTTGGATAGTACAGCCCTAAGGATTGCAATATGTATTCAGAGTTTATAAGATTATCCTCACTTGCCACTTAGGACCTTGTTATAGTTACTCACCTCAGGGTGTGTAATAGAAAAAGGTGATGACGGCATCCTAGAAGCCGTTGGAGCTTATGTGTAGAAAATGATTTAAAAGCAAAAACTAAAAGTTGTGGGGGGAAAGTGATTTAGTGTTGCTATAAAAAATATTTTCCACTTGAAAATATGGTTTTTTCAAAGATGTTTTAATTTTTTCTTTTAGACAAACTGGGCCCCACGGTGTTTGCTCCTGTTAAAATGGATCTGGTTGGCAATATTAAGGTGAATATACTCGCTTGTCTCTGGGAGACTGTTTACTTCAAGGAAATAGTTGCAGGAAATTTCATTCAGACACAAATGATTGTTGAGTTTGATCTCAGAATAAAAAGTGTAGTACAGCTTCCCTGGCCAATGTGGCTCAGCTGGTTGACCATCGCCCCATGCACCAAAAAGTCGCAGGTTTGATTCCTGGTCAGGGCACATGCCCAGGTTGCAAGTTTAATCCCCAGTTGGGGTGCATACTGGAAGCAACAGATGAATGTTTCTCTCTCATGTCGATGTGTTTTTCTCTCTCTCTCTCTCTCTCCCTCTCCCTTCCTTTCTCTCTAAAATCAATAAAAATATATATATATTTTAAAAGTGTAGGACAGCTGTGAGAAAGGTTCTGGGGTAGGAAAAATTACTTTTAAAATGGTTCTTTAAAACCCTGAGACTATTTAGTTCTAGTTTAAGCCTCATAAGAATTCTCAAACTAAAGATACCATTACCCTGAAAACATAGGGAAGAAAGTAACAGAAGTTGCATTTATTTTGATTTCTTAGGGGCCTGCTTGACAGACTCAAAAGTTTCAATACTGTACTGATCTGCTTGGTGGCTTTAGCATTTTGAACTTAGATGACTTCCCTGCTTTTCCTGCAGAAAGTGAATCAGAAGTATATAACCAACAAGGAAGAGTTTACCACCCTCCAGAAGATAGTGCTGCATGAAGTGGAGGCCGACGTAGCCCAGGTTAGGAACTCGGCTACGGAAGCCCTCCTGTGGCTGAAGAGGTGAGGCTGCTGGGGTGGGGCCGCAGTTCCACTTCAGCTAAACAGTTGCTGCAGAAAGGAGACTGCTTCTGAGTGAAGGACCTCGCCTGCTTGCAGAGCCTTTTCTAGAAGGTCCATTGAATAGAACACCACCTTTTCTGTTGTTGTTTGCCTTCCTCTTGATGCTGATAAGCATCGTTAATAGTATACATAAGATTAAAGCATGGTAAAGTCGACTGGTTTTGCTTTAAGTCAGTGGGTCACAAATTTCAGGGACATCAGTCACCTAGAGGGCTTTTTAAAAACATATTTGCTCCACCCCAAACTCAGAGTTTCTGACACCAGAAGTCTGGAGTGGGCCCCAGAAGTTTCCTTTTTAGCAAGTCCCTGGGTGATACTGAAGCTGCTGGCCCTGGGACCATGTTTTGAAAACCACTGTTCAACTGCATGAGCTGAGAAGGGCCGGGCAGGCCAGAGGGAGCAGGCGGGGACAGGCTCAGGAAGGACGGCCACGACAGCCACCAACTGCAGGGGGGGCAGGGGGGCTGAGCCCTGCCAGTTCTGTCTGCCCACTGAACGTACGTGCAGTTGGAAACTAAGATTTCTTCCTCTCTTCTGTTTTAGAGGCCTCAAATTTTTGAAAGGATTTTTAACAGAAGTGAAAAATGGGGAGAAGGACATGCAGGCAGCCCTGAGTAAGTGCCCTGCGCCTCATGGGTCCATCGGGCAGGATGTGGGGCCGGACTCCTGGGGGGGAGACAGGCTGGGGGGGACTTCTGCTCTTCAGTACTTGATTTTCTCTCTTGTCCATCATTATTAATTATTTCTTATATACTTGGTTTTAAAAGAACCTGTGTGATAGCAACCTGGTAATCTATATCTAACTTATTAAAAATCATCTCTTAAAGAAGAGCTAAATGGTCCGGCTGGGCGTGGCTCAGCGGTTGAGCGTCGACCTGGGATCCAGGCGATTGGGGTTTGATTCCCGGTCAGGGCACATGCTCGGGTTGCGGGCTCAATCCCTGGTTGGGGCCGTGCAGGAGGCAGCCGATCAATGACTCTCTCATCACTGATGTTTCTATCTCTCTCTCCCTCTCCTTTCCTCTCTCTGAAATCAATAAAGATATATTTAAAAAAAAAAAAAAAAGAAGAGCTAAATGAATGGAGAGCCATCTCTTCATCTTAATAGGAAAACCTAGTATTTCCAGGAAATCTCTTCTTCCTAAATTAATCTTCAAATGCAGTACAGTCCTCTAAAGTCAATATCCAAAGAGAAGGTGATTTTGGAGACCATGAAAGGGAGGGGATGGGGAACCTGGGAATTTGCTCGGGAGTGAGAGGAAGGGTTCGTCATTATTTTGTACTAATAGACACTGAATGGGTGCTTAATAAACACTAGACAGGTAGGTGGGTGGATAGATGGATGGGTCCATGTGTCAGTACAGTTTTGAACAACATCAAAGACTTGGAAGCATCCTCATAGTGCTCCTAACAGAGTGGCTGAACTGTCACTCTTGTCTTATAGCAAATTCTTCCAGCATGGGCCCTGAGGCAGGGGGTGTGGGGAGTGAAATTCCATATTACTTTGAAGCCCTATGGTGTTATGATGTAGAGAAGCACATGGTCAAGCTTTAAGTAGCCATGATTACAAGTAGTGAAATGAATGAATTAGCTGCTTCTGTTGGGCAGTGGGAGGGGGAACCAGTGTTCATTGCAGCATTTTGTTGATCTCCCAGGTGAGTTTACCTCCTTTTGGTCCTTCCTCTGGACCATGAGGCCTGAGGGATTCTGCTCCTACATCATTTTCCCAGGCCTTTCTGTCTAGAAACTTGCCCGTGTGCCGTGAAACAGTAAAAGCTGATATTTGTGTAACACTTTATGAAGCATTTAGACAACTTAATCCTCAAATCAATCCATTTTTACAGATTCAATACCCAGAATTCTGAAAGATTAACATACATGCTAAGACCACAAAGAGTTTGAATCAGGGTCACTTTGGGGCCCCTGCCTCCAAGGTCCTCATTTCCTTACCAGGAAGTCTCCACCATCCCAGGGGTACCTGCATTTTTGGGTTTCTCATACATCCTTGAATTTCCAGGACAGTCTGCTATGTTCTCCCCTGTGTGTTCTGATTTCATTACTAAAAGTATATTCACCATAACTGTTCACACCCCCTACCCAGTATCCGTGGAACTTTATGACTAGTGGAGTGGTTAAGATCATGGGCTCTCTGGAACCCACCATTTAATAGCATTGTGCACTTAGTTTGTTGTCACCTGGTATCAGGCTCTGCCGCAGGATCACGAGGAAAGAATTCCAAGGACCCATGCACAGGAGATTGTGGTGTAGTGACACAGTTTATGATGATGTAATATCAGAAGAGTTCTCCTGGCTTCCCAGTGTCTCATCTCCATCTGTCCCGCCATGGGAAAAGTACAACCTTGTCTTCAGCAAGGCAAAGCCAGTGCCCAGAGTTTCTGCTTCATAGTCCTCCAGAGCCTGCACAGTCTGCTGTGGGCCCAGGTGGCCACTAGACCGGAATGGTCACATGCTCCTGGGTGGGCAAACAGGCCTCTGCTTCCCAGCTGAACATGCTCAACAATGTCTGACTTCCCTTTACTCTCTTTTCTTTATTAATAACTAGCTAACTATGGTGACTAATTTACTTAAACTTTCTGTCTCTCAGTTTCTTCATCTGTAAAATGGGGATGGTGATACAATTTCTCTAACAAAGCTGTTGTAAAGATTAAATAGGCTCATGCATGTGAAAAGATTAGAAAAGTGGTACATAATAAGCACTTAATAGAGATTGGCTTCAATTGTCATTTATATTTTCCTCCTCATGACCTATGAAGTTGATAACCTGCCAGAAAATGGGGTTTATTTGTCCCAAAACAGAAATAGAAAGTTTACAAAGCTCAGATGCTAAGCCCGAAATTTCTCTTCAGAGTAACTGCTTAACACGGAGCTTTCACACCAGGAGGAGGACTCCTCCACCTGCAGGATGCGGGAGGTGCAGCAGGGGCCTGTCACCTGAAGCGTTTGCGCTGTGTGGCTGTGTGAGGGTAAAAGGGGCTGCTGATCGCACTCACCCCCTGCTGGAGCTGGGTGGAAGAGCATCCCGCTGCCTACAGGACACGCCAAGTGGGAAGGCGAGCTTGGCCCTGGAGGTGGAGAGGAAGTAGAGGGTATGCCCTTTCTGTCCTGCCTCCACCCGAGTCTGCCCCTTTCCCTCCCCTGCCTTTTAGGAAAGTGGGCCAGGAAATGCTGACTCGAACTGGAGAGGAGGCTTGAAGGGCAACTGCTGCTTCAAAACTGAAATAATCAGCCAATCGCAGCCTTGCCTTTCCTTCCTCTCCTTCCCTTCAGCGCTGTTTTCTGTGGAAGGAAAAGGGGGTAGTGAATTTAACATTTGCATCTGATGTTCAGGATTATTTCAGAGGTTTTCAGATTTAAATAACTTCTTCCTCATAGGGATCCCTAGTTTCCTGCTGCTGTCCAGTGTGGAGAGAGGTTTCCCTAACCCCCTCCCCCTGTCTGACACAGCAGCTCTGTGCAGACAGAGTTTTACGAAAAATTTTGGCACGGTAATTATTTAGAGCCCATAGTCACCTCGGTGCATATTTCTGCTGGGTTAACAGCTTCTCTTTTCTCATTTTGAAATCACAGCCTTCATAAGTGGCACTGATGTCTTGTCTGAAATGAGGGAGTTTGGGTATATGAGTAAAATAAGTGTATGCCAGTTTCTATGCCATACATAGGCAACTTAGCTTGTATGTTTTAAATTCTAAAATGGAACTTGAGTTATTGTGCTAACAGCTGCCACTCATAGAGCACGCACTATGGGTGTGACAGCAGGTTCCTGATAAACATTTCATCTGCTCTTCCAAATACTTCCCTTCTGCTGCAGGTAAACTGGGGTATGGAGAGGGTAAGTACCTTCCCTGGGGTCTCAGATCTAGACCAGTGGTTCTCAAAGTGGTCCAAGGACAGCAGCATTTTTATCGCCTGGAAACTTACTAGAAATGCAGGCTACCAGGCCCCACTCAACACCTGCTGACTCAAAGTCTAGCAGAGCCCAGCAATCTCTGTGTTAAGCCATTGAGATGATTCTAGTCCATGCTAAGGTTTGAGACTAGCACTCATCTAGAGTTAGGATGTCAAAGCTCACTTAGTTATCCTCAGCATGAGTTAATTTTGCCTTCCTTTCAGGATAATTAGCTAGTTCCCCAATAACTGAAAATGTTTCCTAACAGGAACAGCAAGACAGTTAGGGATAAATTAAAGATAAACCTTGGATGGCATTCCCAAATTTGAAAACACTGCTTAAGAAAGGTTTGGAGGTAAACAGTCATAAAACTTGTGTATCTTAGTGGCCTCGAAAAATGGGAGCTGATACGTAAAAGGCCTAAATGACTTAAAAGGAAGCCATGGCATCTGTTAACTCCCTGAGAAATGTGTGGATAGTCGTTGTCTGGCTGCAGTGCTGTGACCCAGAATGAGTTTCCAGCATTTGGAAGGAGGCCTTGGGCTTTATCTTGCCCCCTTTCGAACCATTTGAACCATTGCTTAGATTCCCCATAATGATGATTAGAGTGAACCATTTTGGGTGGTCTTATGCCAAGAGCTGCTTTGAACCCCTAGTGCCCCTTGACATTCTCTAGAGGTCGTTCTAAGAAAAGAGTTGGGTGCACAGGCGGATATGTTTAATGGTCCAGCCTCTAGCTGAGCCCCTCCCTTCGCGGACACTGTATCAAAGAGCTTTTGGAAAGCATCCCTGTAAGCATTTCATGCCCCATTGTACTAAATGTTACGCGCTCTGCGCTGGTCCCCCAGCGGGACGGCACATGCCGCAGCGCTCCCCTCAGAGTGATTCCACAAATGTCAGGTAAACATTAACCCACCAATGTCTCCAGGCTTCTTGGTTTGCATTAAATATGAAAGGCTGTCTTAGGAAGGGAGAGCTGTGTGAGAAAGTCCGAACTCTTAGTCAGATGTTTAGTGTCAAATTATAACTCGGCTAATTGTTCTGAAAATACTATGGAGCGAGAGTCAAGTTGTGCGCGCTCCAAAACTGCGCAGCACGTGCCTCTCCTGGCAGAATCGGCCTCCGTGCAAGTTCCCGTCTAGACTGCCTGGAGTTACCAAAGGATCTCACCTCTGTCCGCTGCCTGTTGAGTTGGCGTTTCTCTAGACAATTTGTTTTGCCTGAAGCTTAGTCACTATAAAGAATTCAGGGGGTATTTTCCTAGTGTCTGAGGGTTTTTTTAAATTTTTATTTCAGACATTTAACAAATATCTACCACTTGACCAAGTATATAAAATAGTTCAATACACTACCCGTGTACCACCACTGTGCCCCTGGACTACTCTCATTTTCCAGAGGTCTTCATCCAGATTTGCTGTTTGTCATTACACAATGCATGTTTGTATTCTTCTGTGTATTTGTGTGTCCATAAGCAGTACCTAGTATGTATCACATGTTTTAAACTCATACACATGGTGTCACACTATACACAGTCTTCTCTCTCTCTTGGTGTTTTTCGTATTTACCCACTGCTCACTTACTGGCAGGCCTTCCCTGGTTCCCGGTTCTTACTGAAGGACCTCCTAGGTTAGCCCGTCCGCAGGGCTGGTGGTGGTGGTTGTTTCCTGAGCTCAGCAAAGGACTGGCTCTACCTTTCCTGGCTTCGCTTATCTACTCCTAAGCTCTCTCTTAAAACTTAGATTGCGTTTCTTCTCTGTCTCACTACAACCCAGAGGAACTTCACAGATTCTTACCAGTTATAGATCTATGCCAGAGAAACTCTCACCGATTCCGTTTCTGGCTAGAATGGTTGTCTGCCAACCGTCATGGGAAGGTCATTCTCGCTCAGATACTGTGGTAGGTTTAGTGATGGTCTCTGAATACCTCATAGTGAGTTTCTGAATTACCGGTAAAGAAATCACACTTGTATTATTTCCATAAACAGACTAAGGTCCCAACTTCTTTCAGGAAATGGCTGGAAACAACGCATTTTTCATTTTCTTCATTTTGTTTCACGAACAATAGACATTAGCTTTTGGCAAAATGGTTTAATGTGTCAGGAGTGCCCCAAGTTCTCATTGCTTTTAGCTTTGTGACCTTGGGCGAGTCACGGTCTCTCTGGGTTTTCTGTTTCTTCAATTGTAAAGGAAGAGAATTGAGCAGGCGATGGACTGTCCAGGCTTCCTGCTCCGAAATCTCAACTCGGGCTCTGAGGAAGTGACACGTCTCAAGGAGCTGGGAGGAGGGCATCATTTATGTCTTTCAGAAGCCAGAAATCCTTCCAGATTGCAGAGCACAAATTATGATGATGAATGGGTATTACAGTGCCGATTAATGTATTTCACTATGTAATCTCTGGGTAACTGAAATAGGTCAGGCTTAGGCTTCATCGTGTTTTAACGCAGCCTCACGTGGCAGGGGTACTTGCAGCCCTGCAAGTCAGCTAAGGACTTTCGGCAAATCTTTTTTTTTTTTTTTAACGAGTTTAATTTCATTTGGTGATTTTGAGTTATAGCCTGAGTCAGGACCCGGCCCAAACTCTCTGTCACCGCCTTCACCCATTAGACCACCGGTCCACACTTTGCCGGGTGGCCTCCTCTCTAGCAGGGTGCAGACACTGTAAGGAACAGCTGCCCCCTGGCAGGGCCAGGAGGGAGGCCACGGGTTGTGCTGCCCCACAAGCACCCCCTCTTCCCTAGACCAGGCTGCCTGCCGCACTGTTTGGACTCCCAGCACCCTTGTTTTCCGGCTGCCCTCTAGAAGGGGTGCACGGAGAAAGGTTTCAGGCTTTTTTGAATGGTTGATTAAATGGCAAAGTGTAGGAAGATACAACATCTCTGAGGCTGGCGTAACACTGGATCCAGAGCCCTTGTAAACAGGCATTTTGTCCGGCCAGGGGGGCTTTGGAGCTGAATGCTCAGGCCGGGGGGCTGCATTTGCCGAGTCTCACCTTGTTACTCCCCGACCACAGTTCCAGATCAAATCGATCATGACTGTTAGCCAAAGAAAATAAACTCTCTGTGTAGGAAAAAAGACAGAGAATACACACACATACCCCACTGTGGTGACCTCTGCGAGGCACAATTATTCAGGTTTCTTTAGTTCCCTCGTTTTTGAGTTTTTCATATATTTAACAGTGAGTACGCATTCCTTGTGAAATGAGAAAAATCAGGAAGCTCTGTTTTTATAAACTGTCCCTGTGCCTCAGGTGGGAAGTTCAGAATCCTTTACATGGCACCTAAAGGTCCTCAAAATTCAAAAGGTCCTGCCCCAGTGAGCCACTCCCCACCCTTGTGATAATTTAAAATATTTTTATATCCTACGATAAACCTAAGCAGTCATTAAATGGTGGTGGTTCTTGTGCTAGTGCTGAAACCAGCACATGAAAATGCAGTTTGGAATAGAATTTAGATGAGCTAAACAAGGTGAAGGTCAAACCCCACCCCCCACCCCCGGGATACTTGTAGTAATTCAGGAATAAGCGCTCTGTAAACTGCAGGAGACAGCGCCTAGAAAATAAAATGGAGCATTGAAATAAAAATGCACTGTGGTGAAAGAGCCCTGTGCCTCCTGAGGATGCATTTATTCCTGTGGAAAAATCAGCATTGACGTTTGCATGTATTGAATTATTTAAAGTGTCAGGAACACATCCCCAGCATAAACTCCAGTCACCTTGTGCTTGAGATTATTTTTTTGTAATTAAGATTACTATATACCAGTTTTTAAATCTCACTTTAAAACACTGGCACAAAAATAATAGGTTTTAATCTTTAAAGTCTAGAATATGAATGACTTTTATCGATGGGCTCCCCCATTTACTTTATAACTAGCTCAGTGACTTTAGTTTTAAAGGTTTTGGGGTCTAATGCTGTGTACCCAGGGTCATAGGGCATCTGGGCCAGACATTTGACAACCCAGGCTTAAATGTTCCAATTGAACAGAACCTTAGAGGTTGTCTTACAAAGGGGGAGACAGGTGGTGAGAGGGCAGCTGAGGGCCTGGCCCAGGGTTGCACAACACTTCAAAGAGCCGCATTTTAATATTTTCATGGTGTATTTTATAGTGTGTCTATAATGACTTTCCAGTATCCTTTCCTCCCTCTTTATTTTCTTATGTGTATTAACCCCCCCCCATGATAGTAAGCAAAGTTCTGCTATATTAACACAGGATAAGAGTGGGAATATCTGTTTTTCTTTAAATATTTTTCTCTTTTTCTGTGTCAGCTTTTATTCCTACTCACATCTTTTGGGCTACATAACCTTATAATTAGCCTTTGTTCGTCAGTTCCTAAGACCAGTGGGAACCACATACTCGGAAAGGACGCGATGCTCAGAGCACATCCGCTCTGGCGAGTGTCCTCACGGCGCTCCCCTTGCTTTCCAGACAACGCCTACGGGAAGACACTGCGGCAGCACCACGGCTGGGTCGTTCGCGGGGTTTTCGCCGTAAGTAGCCTCCTGCCTCCTGGCGTTCCGACGGCCGCAGCAGGGTGGTGTGGTTTCGGGCGCAGGGTGTCTCCGTTTGCTTTGTCTTCCGGAATAAGCACAGAGTGTCACTTACTTGAAGGAAGCCTGTAGTCTTAGTTGTGTGGGAATGTGGGTGACAAAGTGTCTAGAACAGAAAAGACTGTTGGGGAGCGTGCATTACCCCATCCAGCTCCGGTCTCTGTGGGATTTGCCTCCGAGGCGGTGGCCTCTCTGAGATGGTAAAGTGTCCGCGCAGAGGTGGGCAGGCAGTGCCCAGGCCTCAGCACCGAGGGGAAGGAGCCGGGGATGCCCTCGGCCTCATCGCTCCCTCTGCTGCCCGTTGTCCTCAGTTTTGTTCATGCTCAGATTTTGAATTTTTTCTTAATGAATTTCACTGACTGTTATCTGAACTCGGTGTGCCAGCAGCCTGGGCTAGGATTCTCTTCTTACCCAGGTACTTTCGTCGTGGAGGTGTTTGTATTCATGTATTTTGGCTCCTGTTGTGCACCACTCCTTCCTTCCCAGCATGTTGACCCAGGAGGAACACACACCTGGGCCTCCCGGTCCCCTGGACAGATCACTGAGCCTGGTGTGTGAAGTAGCAGGACTAGCTGGCCCCTTGACAGCAGCAGGAACGTGTACTCTGATTCTCCACCCAGGAGACGGCAGTCTCAGTCACATGCAGCCACGAAAAGGCCACGTCTCGTGGGGGGACACTAGGAAACGTTGTGGCATGTGAGTGTGCTTTGGAAAATCTGGTGATGTTTTTACTAATTGAAAGGATGGGACACATCATTTGCCCGAGGTACAAACTGTGTGTGCTAGGTTATAATTTATTAGGAGTCAGGTAGAGGAAGTGGGAAGAATTTACAGTGGGAGAAATCAAATTTTAGTGAAAATGAAAGCGTACTTGAAAGCATGGAGATAATAGGAGCCAGACCAGTTGCAGCTACAAACTGCCCGCACTTACCTTCAGTCATATTACAATAGTAGCTGCCGTGCAGCTCTGGGACACCTGTCGTGTGCTAGGCATTGTGCCAGGTACTTCCTTGTCTGTTCCCTTTGGTAATCCTCAGGATTAACTCCCACTATTTTATAAATTCAGAACCATTAATTCCAGTCCCAAGGCCCCAAAATGAGGCTATGCAGAGCCCAGGTCTAAACCCAGACCCACTGTCTCCAAAGAATACTGCTCATTCCCCACAGCACAGCTCTCCGAGGTGAAGACAGAAAAATGGAGAAGCTGCTGGTGAATGAATGGGTGGTGGGTGCTGCTACATTCATCAGCTCCCTGAGCAAATACTGTGAGATTACAAAGCATAAAAACATTGAGTTGGCCTGTGTACAGGAAACATAAATGTGGTTTGTTTTAGTATAGAGGTAAGGTTAAATCCTGAAATAGTAATGATTGAAGAGATATGGTCAACAAGAATGCAGCTATAGCTGAAAATTTAGCTAAAAGGACTTTTTATTTATGGCATTTTCCCTAACATGTAGTAATGTAGACACTTTGCAGTGCACTGTGGAAATCATGGAAGAGTAGAAAGGGAAAAAATTAAACTTGTCCATATGCTTATCACGCCATAATAACCATTTTTAACATTTTTTGTCTTTTACCTTCTTTGCTTTCTTTTTTTTTCTCAATTCTCACCTGAGGATATTTTTTTCCATTGCTTTTAAGGGAGAGTGGAAGAGAGAGAGAGAAACACCGATGTGAGGGAGACACATTGATTGGTTGCCTCCTGACCGGGGATCAAGCCTGCAACCGAGGCACGAGCCCTTGGCCAAAATCAAACCCGGGACCCTCCGTCGCAGGCTGATACTCCAGCCACTGACCCAAACCAGCCAGGGCTGCTTTCATTTTAAAATATTTTACATAGTCTTTTAAATATTGTTGTGGTTAATTTTATATATTATCTCAATATATATCTAATTTCAAGTGTTTATATTTTATATCCACGTTTGTATTATGTATGTATAATTACCTTTGTTTAGTATACTTTGTACATGCATGTAGAATTTTTTACATTTAGCTTGTAGTATAATTTTGTATTCCCCTCCCCACTTAATAGATTCTATCATGACCAATTTTAAATGCCATAAGAGTCTTTGAAAACCATTATTTTTGGTGCTTGCACAATATTTCCCTACTATGGAGGTACCGTAGTTTATTTGTCCAGTCCTCTGTGTTGGAAATTTAAGCTGCTTTTAAGTTTGTTGCTACAGATAAAACAGCATCTGTTCATATGCATTTTTGACTTTAAAAACCTCTTATTTTCTCACAATAGGTTCCTAGAATTAGAATTGCTATGTCTAATGCCAATAACTACAACCACAACCTAGAATTTGGAGCACTGACCATACACGAGACATTGTTTTAAGTTCTCTATATATGTGAAGGTATTAACTTCATAACTCTGAGCAGTTCTCTTATTTTCCCTGCTTGTAGACAAAGAAGCCTGAGACACAAGGAGGGAGGTCATACACCCAAAGTGACAGAGCAAGAACATTGTGAAGGCTCTTGACATTGTTACCAATAATTTTTAAAGTTGCTGGTTTTTAAGAAAATAGATTATGTTGAGCATTTGGCAACAGTCTTATCAGTAGAGGAGCTAGATTGGCCCTTCTCTCCAAGTCTTTCCTACTTTGGAAAGTTTATTGGGTTCCCTAACGTGCTGGTTAATTAGCAGGGGCAAATTCATTTAACTGATCTCAGTTGCTCAGGAAACATCTTTTACACTCAACGAATTTGATTCATATATCAGCCAAAGAGTGAGCTTTTATCTTCAAACAATTATAATCTATAGAACTAATGCCCGGTTGGGGCTCTGCCTCCAACGTGGCCACTCACCATTGTTCTTGATCTTTTTGGTTTCCTCTTTGGTTGAGTTCTGTCATTGGTTCCCAAATAGACTTGGCTGTATCACTGTCTTCTAGGAGCCTTTGAGAAATTCCCTGGGCCCCACTCTGGGAAAAGTTTTTAAATTTTTTATTTCACTTAAACATTCGTACATAGCGTTTGTTTGCTGAAATTCCTCAAGCAAATATGTGAAGGACCAGGTCTTCCTCCCCTAGGCCTGTGCTGAAACCATTGAGTGGTAAATGCCAGTCGCTCCATCTGCAGAAAGGGTGAGGGTTCATTCTCAAAGACTTTCAAATTCCAAGTGTAAGGATGCTCAAGAAAGAAACTGTAGAAAGAATCTTTTCAAGATTCTAAAAAGTCCCTAGAGGTCTCAGCAGAGCCAGCCCACTCTGGGAGCAGGTGGTGTGCAGAGGGAGGGTAGCTGTAAGTAGCCGGGGAATCTTCCATCAGGGGAGCAGTGTGGTGTGATGTGCGGTTGACAAAGCACAGAGACGATCCTAGGCTCAGGTCCTGGCCAGGCCCTCATTAGCTATGTGACGTTCATGTGTAAAATAGGGACATAAACTGTACAGGGTTCCTAGGAAGATGAACTGGGATAAAGTGCATTAAAGCATCAGTGCTCAAGCAAATGGAAAACATTCAACCAAGAGTGCGAAGGAAATACTGTCTACTTGGGGGAAATAGGAGATACACAGAGAAACGTATGTGTGAAGATGAGACCCAGATAGGAGAGGGAGGTCCCTGGAAGACCAGCCAGGTGGGAGCAAAGCCTCTGGCAGCAACATGCATACAGGTAGACTCTGAGGGTCCAAGGGGAACCCTGCATCACTCTGTGCATGAGAAGGGAGCTTTTCTTAAACTTCCCTGGGCACTGCCTGACTTGAAGGCATTATTCATCCTCAGGATGGGCCAAGTACATGCATATGTGCTGCTTCTAGCCTTAAAATTACTTGATTTGGCGCTTGGAAAAACTTTCAGAGTCCACAAATTCAAAGTGTATATTTCTATTTTTCACCTTTTTTATTTGTTTATTAATCCTCACTGGAGGATATTTTTAACATTGATTTTTTATTCATTTTTTAGAGAGAATAAAAGGGAGGAGAGAGAGAGAGAGAGAGAGAGAGAGAGAGAGAGAGAAAGTGAAAGTGAATGTGAGAGAGACACATCAATTGGTTGCCTCCTGCACAAGCCCCTGACCGGGGCCGGAATCAAACCCGTGACCCTTGGGTGCGCAGGCTGATGCTCTAAACACCCAGGCAAACTGGCCAGGGCTGTATTTCTGTTTTTTACTTTTTGTGCTCCTCGGGGGGGTGTGTGTGTGCCCGCCCGTGCGTCGGGTGTAGAGTGCAGGGCGAGACGCGGTGTCCGTTCTCACGGCAGCTCTCTTGCAGTTAGCTTTGAGGGCAGCTCCGTCCTATGAAGATTTCGTGGCCGCGTTAACTATAAAGGAGGGCGACCACCAGAAAGCAGCTTTCAGCGCTGGGATGCAGAGGGACCTGAGCCTCTACCTCCCTGCCATGGAAAAGCAGCTGGCCATCCTGGACACGCTGTACGAGGTCCACGGGCTGGAGAGCGACGAGGTGGTGTGACGCCTGCGGGACAGCGCCGCCTGCCGCTTGCAGGGAAGAAAGCTCAGCGAAGCCTTCCGTTGCCCCACTTAATTTCCAGCAGCAGCTTCGACCCTCTCCACCCCCAGCCTGGGGAAATGTTGAGGAGGAGGCAACACCTAGTGCTTTTGTATATCATTTTTAAATGCGTATATGTTTTGTGTGTTTAAAAATCAAGGTGCTATATATTTCAGTTCAAAGGGCCTCCTGGAAACCAAATCGTAGCTGTTAACAGAGACTTGAACGGCGAGTTACAAGAGCAGATTTGACACGTGAATTTGTTGGCATTGCTTCGTTTTGTTTTTAGCTTTGAGTTTTAATGGGCCACCCAAAGCCAAGCTGAAAATGAGCAAGTTCTGTATCAAGGACTGTAACTCACAGGCAGTGTTTCAGTCAACCTAGAATTGGACTAAACGTTTGGAGGGAGCTAAGCCCCCTGTTAAAGCTGTTGAAGTGACAGTCGGCTCTCCCCAGACATTCTTCAGAGACTCTTCTCTCCGTAGCTCCATGAGCGAGAAGGGGCTCTGCAGTCCAGGGTGCAGAGCATGGGTGGGACCATGTCACTGTGGGAGGTGAAGACATCCACAAGGAGTGCCATCCTGGGGTACACATGGGGAGACCATGGCTCTAAAGAGCCAAGTGGTGCCCTGAGCTGAGGGCAGTGTGAGAGGGGGACAGGTCACCCGAGATGACTCTAGTGCCCACTCTTGTTCCCATGCTTTCCCAGACATTATCTCAACTTGGACATTGTAGCAACACCGTGACATCCAGGGATTATTACCCAATTTCAAAAGCAAGGTTTAAATAGAGGAACCAGGTGATGTCCAGGTGTGATCTGACCACCTCTGCATCAAAGTCACATGAGTGCTGTTCATACAGCAAGTTCCCGGGCCTTACCCGCCTGGAGAACCAGATCCCGTGGGTGGGACTCAGGAATCTGCATTTGAATACACTATTCAAATGATTCTTGTGCACACAGAATTGAAGAATCGTGACATTAAATCCTAGTTTACAGAATTTTCAGTCTTCTGCATGAACTAAATGATGTGTTCTTTTTTCTAAAGAGGAAGAGGCTATTATAGAAATGAAACAGTTAAAGGGAGAGTGAGACGCTAGCCATGTTTACTCAGCAGCTTTCCTGATTGAGCCAGCACCGGGCCCAGCCAGTATGTTGCAGGCAGGGACCGGGGGGTCCCAGTGTGCTCTCTGATCAGTCATGGTTTAACCACCAATTAGCAGCTGCTTAGCAATCCTAAAAGATTAGGGACCATGTCAAGGTTAAAGGTGGGATTTCAGCCTTTCATAAACAACCTGGTGTGGACATTGCCCTGAAAGAGTGACAGTGGGACTTGCCCTGGTGTCGGGGCCACACTGCCAGGAGTGCATGGGAGAGAAGCCATGGTGCCTTCCCTGTCAGAGGCCCCTTCCTTGGAGTGGCTGGAAGGCCATCTCCTCCATGAGGTGGCTCCCCAGGGGAGAGGGGAGTTCCTTTGAGGAGCGCAGGTGAATGCTGCTTGAGCAGCCCTAGAAGATGCTGTTCCGAGGGCAAAGGGAACCCCCTCCTCGGACAGAGAGGCTCATGTAGGGAGGGGCGTTGATTTTGTCTTCTGTGTGTCTTTTAAACAAGTGGGCATTTATTTAGCTCAGGTTAATGAAGCAGGCGCTCTGCTCACATAAGGACTTCTGGAAAAGGCTTAAACCTAGAACAGCAACATCAGATGTTTTAAGGCTGGAGAGAAAATGGTGCTGAAATGACGCTGGTTGTTTTGTATTTCAGCACTTCCTCTTGGCACCTGCCAAGGTGCGTGTGTGTTGTCCCCCCCCGCCCAGCAATCAGTGTGGATGTCCCTCTCCTGCTAGTGTGGAAATGATGGCGGGACTGGGGGATCCTGCCCCTAACATAGCCTCCTAAAAGGGAAATAAAAACCAGCCAATCTTTGCCAGTACCTTGAATGAAGACTCTGTAGGCTTTGTGCCATTGGAGGGGAAGCGACCAGGAGACTAAGTGCTGGGAACCGTGACCCTCCTGATCACCTGCTGGTGCTCCCTGTCACCAAAGGCGAACTCGTGTGGAGAGGGAGTGGGCACAGGGAACGTACCTCAGGGCTGCCCGAGAAGCTGAGTACACACAGAAAGCTGCCCGCTACGGCCCTTTGATGTTGGTATGGGAACTGCTGGTACACATGACTCAGTTTCCTGGGAGGAACAATTGAGTCTTATCTGGGGTCATGGGAACCTGGTAGAATAACTGGAGTAAGTTACGTTTCCTGCCCACCCTTCCCCAGCCCTATAGAAAGGGCGATGTTTTTGGAAGGTATTTTCCTCGCTGGAGCATATTGAGTATGCCTATGGTGTGTAAAGCTCTGAGAGCCCTTCAGTAAAAATAACTAGGAAGTGAGCCCAGTACTAGGCGGTAAGTTCACCTCGACTGCAGCTTGGCCCAGGCAGAGCTTCCTCCTGGATCCACAGCATCTGCTGCATTTTAGCCCGAGTCCTAATTTGTGCTGCTTCCCAGTCACTGTCTCAGAAGGGGACAAAGAGAAGATAATTAAGGCTTTCTCCCATAATCCGGCAAGATTCCAGGCATCTGAGCTTCCCCGCACCCTGCCAGCAGGAGAGGAGGAAAGGCCGGTGTGTTTGTTCACAGAGCAGTCCTCTTGCTCTCACTGCTGAAACACTTCAGATCCCTTTTCAGGGAACCTTCAGAGAGAAGCTGGAGGAGATAACGTGTTTCCCAGATATCAGGGAACGTTAGGCTGAGCCCTCCCAGGGTATTTCCAGCACCACTGCTTCTGTCCGCACCTGCCCCACAGGTAGAAGCCAGGCCTGACTCAGGAGGGGTCGGTGCATGAGTCTAACTCGGGGGTGGGGAACATCCGGCCTGAGGGCCGTATAAGGCCAACGAAATCATTTGGTCTGGCCTGTTTGGTGAGTTAATTAAATATTTGACCAAATATAGCAGGCTAATTTTTAAGTTGATAATTTTGTATGGCCCGGGAATGATGTTATAAATATCCAGATGGCCCTTGACAGGAAAAGGCTCCCCACCCCTGGAACTAAACAGAACCCTTTCAGTGTCGGCAACTGCTCTGTCCTTTGAAAGCACATTTGACTTCTTACAGCTAATCCTGGTGGAAAATGTTAAGTTGGAGGGATAACCTTTGCGGGTGGAACCCACTCGTGACTGACTGAGGTGCAGACAGTTTTCTCATCAGCTCTGCAGGCAGTTCTGGAAGTGGAGCCCCTGGGCGTGGACTCGGAAAGGCTGCGTTCATCAGGTTGTGTAGGCAGTGGCTTGAGGCAGGCTGCCGTTACTCACGGCCATTCTGAACACAGCTTCCCCAGTGCCCTGTTCACGGCGGGGACAGCTGAGCTCCATGGCCCAGCCTCGCCGCCCCTCTCCTCTCTGTGTCTCGCTGCTGCCCGCAGTGCCCCCTCAGCATCACTTCGGTCCCCCTGTAGCTGCTCTGCCCCATTAGCAGCACCTCTGGGCACACCTTGCCCAGGGTGAGTACTAGTGGGTGGGGACCCCGCGCCCTCCCCCACTGCAGGAGCTGCTGAAAGAATCTCTCTTCCTCTGTCGCTGTGGAGCGGGTGGCCACCAGGACACGTGGCCTCCAGGAACGGCGGCCTAGTATTAGAGCGCTGCTCCAGAAGTCCGCAGGCTCCTCCTTTTTAATTACTAATCGTGTACACGTGTATATCCCAAAAGTTCATGCTTCACCTTTATATTTTCAGAAAAGTGTTTTTAATTTAAAAACTATGTGGTGGGGACCAATAGGTAAAGTATTTCATTCAGTTTGAAATCAGTAAAAGAGCTGAAGTCAGGGGCATCTTTCTAAGGAAACTTCATCTGATTGTGAAAATTACATACATCGTGTGAGGCTGGGGAGCGCGTCGGGTCATGAGCAGTAGAGGGTGATGTGAGACACTCCGGAAACTTTCTGAACGAAAACTGTGTTTCTTTTCTACTAAACTACCAGGTCCTACAAGAAGTTGTTTACACATGGTGCATTTCTGAACCACTGATTAGATCAGTCACTTCCAGTTGTAGTCATGGGTTTTATAACTCTTCAGCTTCCTGCCCTCATGTTTCATTTCTTTTTAAGATGAACTACCCACTTTTTTTATACTTCTAGATTTTGAATTTATAAGTCAAGCCTATTTTAAGCCATTGTTCCCTTAGCTGAGCTAATGTGTTTGGTCTTCGGGGGCCTGACATCAGTTGCCCTTTGATCTGGTACAGTCTGTACACAGACGTCAGTGTGTACCGCAAACCCGTGTCCTGTGCAGTGTGTGCAGAGTCCTTTATTTAGAAGTATGTCCTGCCACTCGATGTCCCTTTGTAACCTGCAGTTGCTGACTCAGGGGTTTCACAGTAATGACATGAAATATTCACTAGCTGTCTAATGGTTTTTTGAGACTGCTTCCCTGTTACAAGGTTGTTCGGGTCCTTCCAAAGTCCCGTGCTCATCCTGCTCAGCAGACTGTCCCTGTGCGTCCCCCGTGCGGTCAATAGTCCCGGGCACAGGCCGCCCGCATGATCTCTCCTTGCCCGGCCGCATCAGGGCCCCCAGGGCACGACTCAGCGGTTGTTGACAGTACAGCAGACGCATGCATTGATCCTTCTCAGTAATGCAAACGTTTTTAAAATTCTTTGGTTACCCTTCTGAATCACTTCTCTTTCAGAGTGAACAAATGTTTTCAGCTAAGCTATGTGGGAACACAAGAAAGAGATCCTGCTTGTTTTAAGCACATCCTTCCTATTACGTTTTAAAGCGCAGTCAGTATTTCCTCCCTGTACTCTATAAGCAGAAACCACCCTGGGGTGGTTGGTCCCCCTGGCCAAGCTGATGGCACCCACACAGACTCCTGTAGGTGCTGGTCCCTTTGTAGGTGTATAGATGGAGTCAGTGATGACAAGAAGGGTGATCCAGAAGTAATGTCTGTTGCTTCCCAGAAGGCTGATGAGCCAGTCGCATGGCATGTGATGTATGAGTCCCCCGTGTCATGACAGTTTCACTAGAATGTCAGAAAACAGCCCAACTACCTCATGTGAAATTGGCTGTGGACAATCTGTGTCAGGTGAGATGTGTTAAGGTCGATGTGATCTGGTGAATAGACTGGACAAAGCGAGGTCTCTATAAAGAAGAAACACGTTAGACCAGATGCCAAAGGCTACAATGTACATAGATTTCCTTGGATTAATTTTTTCAGTCAGTGTTTAATTCCACGCCCAATATTCTCATCTCGAATGCCTGTGGCCTCAGATCCACGCACTTTGAACACCCGTCACGCAGTCTTTGTTGTCTGTTGTCCTTCAGCATTTTGATTGAGCATCATCATGACAGTAGAAAGCAAGCGTCGAGTGCTTTGCGGATTTCTTCATTTGAATGGACCTTCACTTAGAATATAATGTGTTGGGACCTTTTTAGGACCAACCAGTGAATGAAGATTTCATGTTTAGTGTTTCATGTAAAACTCTGTCCAAGTTCTTACTCTGTACGTTGTGGGGAGGGAGGAACAAGGGAGGGTTTTCCTTTTTTTGCAAAAATGTTTGAAAACATCTGTCAGATTTTATATTCATTAGTTATAATAAACTTATTTTTAAAGTATTTTATCAAGTGCTTCTCTTAAAGATTTCTGTGTGGTTTCTTAGCATAAATAAGGTCAGATGACAGAACCTCCCTCCCCTAAAGCTTAAAGAACGAAGTACCAGAGTAAATTAAAACCTAAAAATAAAACCACTTAGCCAGCCAGTGTGGCTCAGTGGTTGAGCATTGACCTAGGATCCAGGACATCACTGTTCGATTCCCGGTCAGGGCACCTGCCCGGGTTGTAGACTCGGTCCCCAGTCGGGGGCGTGCAGGAGGCGGCCCAGCAGTGACGCTCTCATCATTGATGTTTCTCTCCCTCCCTCTCCCTTCCTCTCTCTGACATCAATAAAAGACATATTTTAAAATAAATAAAAAATAAAAACACTTAAACTCACCAGCAGTGAATCAAGGCGAGGAGCCCTTGTCATTGGGCTGCTTTAAACTTCAAGACCAGATTTTCCAATAAGAATGAGAAGAGAGAGCTCCTAATCCTGACCCGAACTGGGGGAATTTGCAAAGTCCAGAATTCTTAAAACTGCAGGTTTTGGAAAGAGGTTGATTGGAGAGTTGGGCAGGATGGGCAGCCTGATCTCTTCCTTCCTGCGAGTGGGGCTGGCATGCGGATGTGCAGGTCAGAAGGGGGGTGTTGCTGGGGAGAGGGGTGAAACGAGGCACAGGAACAAACTGCTCGTCCTTGAATTAAGAGAAACACCTAAATCCCAAGGGCCTTCTCCCGCATGGCAGAGTAGCTGCGTCTCCTCTCTGTTTGGAATTCAGCCCGGTGCAGGCCTTCATGCGAGTATCTGAAGGCAGAGCAGAGCCCAGGCCCTCGAGCAGAATCCTGTGCACATGGCTGCTGCTCCCTTCCCCACGCGACACACACAGGCCGGGCTCGGGTTCGGCTGGTATGCCCTGGTGTGGCTGTGCTGGCTATTAAAATAGCAAAGTACCCCGATACTCTATCAAAGGAAATAAATGGCCTAAACAGGGCCAATGTCTTAAAAATGAGCACATTTAAATAAAAGGACTTGGCAACTACATAAATGTACGACAGCCAGCAAAGGGAACGGAGTGGCGAGCAGACAAAACCAACTGGGAAAAAGAGCTAATCTAGGGAACGGCATTCCTGAGGGTGTGTTGTGTTCTCAAGTTCAAAAGAACATGAATTCAACAAAACGTATGAGCTGATTAAACAACGGGATGAGATTAAGAGGCAGTCAACAGAAACAACTTACCTGAAGTAACACTATTATAGAAAAAAAATGAATTAGAAATAGCAATAAACATGGTCAAAAGCAGAATTGATTATGAGAAAAGACTTGCAGTGAATAAAGAATTCTTTGAAAGATTAAAGTAATTCTTGAGGATAATTGTAGGAAGACAAAGATAGTCTAACGTACGTGTAATTGACAACCAAAAAAAAAAAAAAATTGGAAATGAAACTTCCTGAAATTAACCTTCAGATTGAAAAATCACCCTGTGTCCTAAGAAATATGACAGAAGGCACTTGACACCAAAACATATCCTGGTGAAGTTAATGAACTAAAAGAACGAAAGAATTCTTCACTCAGGCAGAAAATGCGAGTCACCAAAGGGTCTGAAACTTCTTTTCCACAAGATTCAGTGACGGGAGCCAATGGAGGAATGTGCCTAAAGCTCTGAGTAGGAAAGAAGTGACCTAAGTATATTACTGGCAGCCAAGTTGTCCACAGGAATGTCAGGT